ACCGGAGAAAAAACCAAAAAAAAAAAAAAAAAAAAAGGAAGCAGAGCAGCAAGTGAAGGCTCAGGGGGCGGGCTGAGGCTTGGTGCACACCTCTCAAGTCAGCACTTGGACCCCTCCAGATGCGGTACACAGAGGGCGGCTGCATATAGCATGGATGTGCTGTGTGTTCAGAAATCTAGAAGACACAGGATTTGGAGTGTTTTCACCATAAGGAAAGGTAACTGTTAGAGGACCTAGATATGTTTACCCTGATCTAAGCACTTCACAATGTGTACGTGCAAACATCACGTGATGCACCATAAGTGTATACAATTCTCTGTTTCAGTTAACAAATAAATGTAAAAGAAGTTCATTTTCTCTTTCCACACTATTCTCTGGAAGGGACTGACCTTGATCTACCTTTGGGAAAGTGTCTACTTACTGGACTTCTGTAAAGAGGACTCATCTTTTCCTCATCTAATCCAGCAGTCTATCCACTGTTTATTCATTCTTTCACTTCTATCAGTAGGGCTCTAGGGCATTTATTTTATGCTGTGGATTATACCCCTATACTCCGCCCTTATTTCTCTGCAATAATTTATCTTAGGGATTTGAGGTGTCACAGCAGTTTGCCATTTTGATCCTACCTGTATCTATATTCCTAAGTAACACCACCCTACAGATGAGACATAGGGATATGTGTGTTTGTCAGGATAATGCCGACTGATGTTCGCATATTAATGGAGTCTTTTGTTTTCAGTGCTGGAAAAAACCCAGGGCCTCGCATGTGCTAGGCAATTGTTCTATCCTGACCCAGTGGTGGAGTTTTTAAAATTAAAATTTCAGTGTTACTAAAAGTAAGTTGGCAGAGATGACTGTACAACTTCCACATTCTGTAACATGACTTTTTCTCTGTGGCTTATACTGTTCTCCTCAGCGCTTAATCCTGAAAGCATTTTACGAGGGGTCAGAGGTGTGAAAGAGGCTGTAAACAATGCACTTTCATTAGGGAAACTTGTGTTTGCTCGTTGTACAACAAACAGAAGGCTCTCCAGAGCCATTTACACCAACACGGTCAGTCTCACCAGCTGCTGCTCCACGGGGGGTGGGGTATCCTGGTTGGCATAAACAATGGCAGGGTTGTAAAGGCTGAACACCACAGGGTAAAACACCTTTCTACCTGTAAGTTAAAACATATTTTATATCACCCAAGGAGGTATAAAACAAAGGACATCTTTATTACTATCTAGAGCCTTTTGTGAAGTCTTTTAAAATCACGTAGTATCAATATTCAAGCTACAGAGCATCATGTTGATTGTGATGATGATTCTTTCAGTAGGTCTGACAATGAAACTGTAACTCTGCAAAAACCAAAACCAAAACCAAACCACACTAAAGGGAACTTCATGTGTTTAGTCCCCTCGACTCTGGGAGATATGCAAATGTTGTCTCTCCGCTATTCATTAGTTGAACTTTTTGTTATTAGGTCACCTAGCCAGTAGTAGGAGACATAGATTAACTTTTGACAATCATCAAGAAACTTACAAACTTCTGTTAAATCCACTCTTCCAAGAGAACAGTTAAAAATCGCAAATGTAAAGAATATTGTACAATACCTAGATATGTAGAAAATAATATAGAAGTGCAGACAGATTTAAACCAAGATCTGGGAAGGCTGGGAAGCTGGGGATGCTGTCACAGCTCTTGTGGAAGACCTTGTCATCAGTGTTCAAACTGAGAGCCTGAAGAGCCTCAAGGTTAACGGTACTGGCCACTTGCCACAGGAGAGGTCCTTGGCAGGCCTGGCAGCCAGAAGTGCCAGCTGCTCAGGGCCTGTCAGTGACACGCAGCCTTCTTACAACCACAGCCCAACAGATGCCAGGCCACTTCCTTCAAACCCACTTAGGGCCAGGAAGATGGAACTTCCCAGAGGCAAAGCTATTTCTGGATATAAAAATGTCTTTTACACTGGACAAATATGTCTCCATCAACTTTCTCATTTTGTTTTTGTTTTTTTTTTGGTTTTTTTCCGGTACCAGGAACTGAACTCACGACCTTGTGCTTGCCAGGCAGGTGCTGTGCCACTGAGCTAAATCCCCAGCCCATAACTTTCTCATTTTGAATTTCACGTCTGGAGTAACAAGAAAAAAACAGACCCATATTTACTCATCAGGCTCTCAGAGAACTCTGGACAGCTCTCCCTAGCCAAGGTCATTAGCTTTGCACTATATGAAGGATTTTTTTTCTGGTACTGGGAATCAAACTCGGACCTTGTGTTTGCCAGAGAGGTACTTGTGCCTGAGCTATATCCCCAGCCCAATATGAAGAATTCTATGCAAAAAACATGGATTATGAGATTCTTTCATTTAAAAATTACTGTTGTTTTTACTTTTCTTTTCTTTTTTTTTTTTCTGAGACAGGGATTCACTATGCAGTTCAGGCTGGCCTTTAGAACTTGCCGTGAGTGATCCTCCTGCATAAGCCTCCCAAGTGCTGGGATTACAGGCATGCAGCCCCATCCCCAGCCTAAAAATTACTGTATTTTTAATTCACAAAAATTGTACATATTTATGCATCCAATGTGATGTTCTGATATACACAAACCTGTGTGATGATTAAATCATGCTAACTCACATAGCCCTCACCTCACAACTCACATACTTATTTTTTTATGGTAAAGGCATTTCAAGTTGACTTCTCTTTGTCATTTTCAAGTACACAGTACACTATTACTATCTATAGTCTCCATGTGGTACAATGTTCCTGAACTTACTTGTATGGAGACGTTTTAATACAGAAAACTTTCTACATTTAAAAGTTGATTTAAAAACCTGTCATGTGCTCATTCATTTTCAAAATATATCTATAGCATAAAGCACAGCAAATGTACACGTGTGTGCTTGTCAGTGTGTATGTGTGGATGTGTGTGCCAGCGCATGTATGCTTGACCCCCCCTCCCCCCAGGTTGTGTGCCTCAGACTCAAACATCTCCACACCGCCTGCGTGGCTCTTTTTCTGTCCAGAGTTGTTCCCTTCCTTCTCATCAGTTTGTAGACTTCTATTCCTTTGCATTTCTTTAGTTGGCTTCAAATGTAGCCACTGGAATTTGGCTCCATGAGAACAAAGGATACAAACTCAAAAGGTCAAATTTTCAATTTACTTTGTTTTACAGTTAAATTGTGCCTTATACCACTTACAAAAGAATATCCCAGGGTTTAATTAAAACTCCTTTCCCCTCACATTAACTTGATTCAAAACATGGGATATGGCAACACCCTTCTCAGTTCTATACTCAGCTCACTGACTCATGGGTATACGCACCTGGCTCAGCGTTTAACCGGCAGCTGTTAAGGAATTCGGCTGAGAAATATATATCAACATCACAGAAAAACATCAAGACCTCTCCCTTGTCCCAAGCTCGGGCACCCACATTTAGTCCTCGTCCACGATTAAATTCTTCATTCAATGAGACCAAGGTGTAATTGTGAAAATTAGACTCACTATGAGGAAAGCACATATAACATATGATGAGTCCCACTTAGAGTTACAAAGCTCTTCCTTCAACAGAACTTATAAATACGGTTTACACTTCAGAGATTTCATGATGCTGGTTCTCATTCACGCAGGGAAAAGCAAGTGCCCACTTCGCTGGCATAAGGCCTCAGGGACTAAGGTTCACTGACTGCTCACACAACGGGGCAGACATTCTGGTGGTGTGAGGCTTAACAGGTGCTGCTAAGTGGCCACTGCCCACTGAGCCCTCAAACAGCTATTCAAGAGACGATAACACACCGTCCGTGGAGAAGCAACCATGGGGCTGAGAACTAGTGCATGTCACACACGCCAAAGACACATGCAGCGCTCTTCTCGCGCACCCTCGCCTCTGCACACACTCTGTTCACAGGCTCCTCCTCCATGCCACACAGGCAGTGGCTGCCCTGGCTGCTCTCCTCAGCACCCCCAAACGTGCTTGTGTACGCATCCCCCTCCACAGCAGGCTTTGTCTTGTCCATGACTATGCCAAGTGTCCTTGCAGAGTTGGAGTTCAATGCATTTCTGCTGAATGAAGGAGTGAGCAGCAGTTCTGGGGAGAGATGGCTATGTCTACAGCAGTCAGAGAAGATACCAGAAGTGGAATGTGAGTTCTGCCTGTGTTGAAATCCTGAATTCAGTGTTGAGTGTAAAGGTCATTCCCAGTAATTACTCTTAAAAGCAGAGGAAATAGAAAGCGTCTTAGAGGAAGTGTTTAGGGGTCAGACAGGTCAGATGGTAACAAAGGCTGACAAGGCTGGACAACAGGCTGGACAGGGCCCCTAAGATGGGAATTCAAGGAGCCACCGTGAGGAGCACCTTCTGTACAAGGCCATGGAACGTGGGCCGCAACGGGCTGGTGGGGTTTTCTGCTAGGAAAGTGGTTCTCACAAGCAGGCCTCCAGTCTCAGCGTCAGCTCCCCCTGGGAACATGTCAGGAGCAAATGACAGTCTCCACCTCTGGCTTCCTGACTGGAGCGGAGGGCAGATTGAGTCCTCTGTGCCTTTGCACCAAGCTGAAAGCCACTGTACGGGAGGCAGCAAGACCCAATGAGAAGGTGGGGAAGGCTGTTCCTAACACGGCACGGTGTGCGCCATGGAGATGGAAGCATGATCAAGCTGTTTTTGGGGGCCTGGGACTCCTCTCCCCACCTTGCGGCATGGAAATCTCTCCTGTCTTAGAGGGAAAATTGCCCATTACCATCCCATTGCCCAGCACCACCTGGAAGCTCTGATCACAGAACACCCTTACTCCACCCACCCCACCACAGTAATTTTCTGCGAGTGGGGATCAGGCTCAAGTGGGGCCAATCACACCCCCACCCGACCTGGCCACAGTGATTGGCTAAAGAGTGGGAAAATGTCCTTCCCTGGGATTTTCTCAACTGGAGCTCAACTGCAGGGAGAAAGCGCTTTCCTCTCTGATGGCAAAGCTGAGAAGTGTGAGCCCAGAGCCGCCAACAGCCACATCCCTCAGCATGTGGAAGAAGCCAATCTGCAACAGGAGAAGGAAGTCAACATGCACAGAACAGCAAGACGATGGTGAAAGAACTCTGACAGCGTTCACACCTCCGGTCCCAGCCCTGAGACCCCAGAGCTGTGTCTTGAGCTTCTCCAGGTTTGCCTGTAACAGTCCCTCCGGTTCTGAGAGGTATCCCAGATTCTTCAATCCTGCTCCTTCCTCAAGCAGCTCAAGGTAAGTTTCCACTACTTGCCACAGAGGCATCCTGACAACAGGGATGACTGCAGAGGTACCAGGGCAAGCACCTGATACTTAGCAATAAGGTGGAAAGAGAGGAAGGGAAGAAATGCAGGGAGAGGTAGCTGGTAGGGGAAGGGACAGATGCAAGTAGGAAGGGACTCTTCAGACAGATACAGATGAGTAAGACTTAGCTCTCGAGTGTCAGGCTGAGGGGCCTGTGAGAACAGTCCGACTGAGCTGAAAGAGGGCCACCAAGGGCAGGTATGGAAGGGGAAGGGGGTGAGTGTGCTAATGCACTGTAGTGCTGTGAGGGTCCCAAAAGCCATGCAGGTGCCCCAGCTGGACCCTCGCCTCCTTCAATTACCGTGGACTCCCATGAAGTGTACCTGGGACACCAAGGGTGGGCTCAGTGTTAGTGAGAGTTTGGAGAGGAGCGGTGGCCCAGTCCGGCGCTAAGCCATCAATGGCACCAGTAGGGGAAGGCAAAGGAGCACGGGAAGGGTATAGCGCTGCTGTGGCTAAAGGGGACAAGCCACCTGCACGCAGTCGTTACTTCACGTTTACAGACATTTGCATTTTTCAAACATAACAACATTTAAAAAGAAACTACTGGTTAGGGCGTCATGTAAAAAAGCAATCCAACAAGGTAACAGAGAAAAGGCCAAATTTGCCAACCGGGCTGCACCTTTGGGCCCTCAATTTAGAGAAAAAGGCTGAGAAGCTAAAGAGAGAAAAATCACACATTTAAGGAATGAAAAATTTATCCTTTCAAACCTCTGAGTACCTACTATGTACCAGGTACCCAACGGGCTGCTTAGTGACCTGACCACTGCTCTATGAGGTCTGACTGTGAGGACAGTACTGTGACAGCAGCTACTGCACCCTGCAGAATCAGAGGCTCTTAGACACACGGGTACCTGGGCATTGTCTACAGGTGAGAAGAAGCAGAGTGAGCAAACAGAAGACAGGAGACCAGTAGGAGCCAGCTCAGAGATTAGGACAGCAAAGCACAGATCTAGAAGAGGGAGAGAAGCGAGTATCCAGAAGAGGGTGGCCCCAGATGACAGCATCCTGACCAGGGCTGGTACCTGCTCGGCCGCTAGTAGAGGACAGCTGTGCAGGGCTGCTGTGAAATGAGCTCCGCACCACCACCCCACGCTCAGCAGCTATCCAAAAGCACGAGCACTTTACGTGTCTGAAATCCTCATTCTTCCACTGACATCTATCAAGGACTTCACTATGGACATGACTCACCAACCTTGTGACAGATTCTAGGATAGATTTGACTTCAGACAGTCCTTCTTTACCAAAGTACACCACCGTGAGATGGATCCTCTTGTCCTGATGAATACAAACATCCCTAGCAGAATTGAAAAATAAAGTTTAAGAAAACATGAGGTACTACTTTACTTACTCAGCAATCAGGTGAAGCTCTAACAAGAAAGTAAGTGAGGTGCTGTTGACAAGAGTGAAGTCCCAGGAAGCATCGGTGGCATCATGGGGACAGTGCTGCCCAATCGTCAAACCTACCACAACACATCATGAAGGCTACGCCAGCAGTAACCTCAGAGGGCTGCAGGAGCAGTCCAGCATTACGGCTCAACCACAGCATGTTTTTGGAACTTTTGTTTTGGCATAGGTTTCAGAATCAAATTATAAACTATTCAAAGAAGTTCATTTAGTTCAAAACCAAATAAATAAATATTCCAGTTTTGGATCAAGAGTTATTTTGTCCTCAAACTGGCTAATTCCAAAAATTATAGCTATCATCAAGGAATAAATATTTGCCATGATTAAGAATATTTACTGTAAGCCAAGTGTGGTGGTGCACACCTGTAATCCCAGCACTTGGGAGGCTGAGACAGGAAGATCCCCACAAGTTTGAGGCTAGCCTGAGGTACCCAGTGAGTCCAGGCCAGCCTGAACTACACAGCAAGACACTGTTTCAAAAAAAAAAAAAAAAAAAGAACATTTACTGTAAGAATAATACGGTCTCTGAAGGCAATTCCAAGGAAAAGTGCTTAGGAAATCAGCTCTCAAGAGTTACTTCCAACAGATAAAATCCATTCATAAGTGTATCTCCTATATATTTTGCTACAGAATATGGTTAGCTACCTTTTCAATGTAATAATAAAGGCTAGGAGCACAAAACACTAAAAGTAGCACATTAAGTTACTAAAACATGGAAATGTTAACTTAAAAAAGCAAGGTTTTCTCAAACTGTTATTCCAATGTGTAGTTATTAACATTTCAGCATTCTAAAATGCCAAAATTTAATGACCAAAGAAAAAGAATAGAAATACTCTACTTCACAAGATGGAAAAACCTTTTCCCATTTTAGTTCAATATTTATATTTTAAAATTCATTTCAATCTTAAATTATTCTTAAGATTTTCTTGGGAAATAAAAATAATTTTGATTTGGATGTAGTTTACAAGTGTATACCTCTGTCAAAAGTCATGAAATATGACATACTGTCCTTAAAACATCCTTATAATATATTTTACTGAATGTAAGTTATGCATTAATAAAGTAATTTCTAAAAATTCAAACGACCTAAAATGAATTCATTCACAATTATAAAGGTCATTGAATTTAGCTTCTAATAGTTGCCACTCAGAATTTACAGTTCAAGGGGCTGGGGATTTAGCTCAGTGGCCAAAAGCGCCTGCCTGGCAAGTGCAAGGT